AATTCTTTATTCAACTAACTTGGAAGTAGTGTTCATGAATTTTTAACTAAAGACTCACAGATGCTATGTTCCCAGAGAATGTGCATTTCAGGATAGAGTTCCTTTTGTCTTCCTATATCAATAATAATATTCTTATGTTTGACTTTCCTCTCTTTCAGAAGCCTGTGAAACAATTTTTATTGTCTCGTGGAACTGAGTAATTCTGTGATTTCTTTTGGTAACTGTTTTGGGGGGGTATGTTTTTATATTTTCACTGTCCTTGTATGGTAGGTTAATTTTTTTTTCTGAATGAAGCTTAGTAATTTAGGAAGAATATTTTAAGGTATTGATGAGTTTTCCATTTGTTTTCTTGTAACTCAGTTCATTCTTTTGGTATACAGATTAATTTCATTACAGATAAAAATACAAATATATTCCTTAGCACAGTAATTGAGAGTGCAGTCTCTAGAATCATATTTTCAGCTCAACAATTAGTTGTCTAACTTTATGCAAGCTAATTATCCTCACTGTGTCTCTGTTTGTCATCTGTAAAAGTATAATTACTGAAATATGGGATAATAATGACCTACAAGCCATAACATGTCTAAGCACGCAGTAAACATCCCAGCAGTGTTTGTTATTATTATAATCAGTTATCATCATTAGTTTCAAATAGTTTTCCTATTCTACCTTCCTGCATATCTATTACCTTTTCACTAATTGATATTTATCTCTACATTCCCCCCCTAGGTATTTATTATTAATTTTTTTGTATCCTGAACTTTTACTACCTTGGATTTTTTTGCCACATTGTTTCATTTTTACACTTCCTACAGTTTTAAATCCATCGATTTGTTTTTATAAAGATGGTTTGTCTTTATTTTCTCCTCTTGTTTATCGTGTCATCTTTGATCTGTGGTTTCAATTTTATCTCAATTTTTGGTGAGAAGGAAACTTTTGTTAAAGGCAAGTGTAATTTTATTTTTAAAAATATTTTAAAGAGTCACTATGTGTGTATTACACGCCAAGCTCCTCTCTCCTCTTTTCACGCCAGCAGCATCGCTGCAAAGATGCCATGCCACTTCTTTGGTGCGATGCTTCATCTGGAAGGAGACATTGCTGGCAAATCTTCCAATTGGTCAAATGCCCTTGCACAGAGTTTTAAATTCTGCTTGTATTACTCTCATCCCTGTGATGTACCCTGCCCTCTGCATCACCTCAGTTTGGATTGAGGGTTGATTGTTTTGTTGTGTTTTCTTTCCTGTTGCTGTTTTGTAATCTATGGACAGTACATAGAGCAGAGTAGAACTCCCATAAGGTTTTATATTATTGTGTCTTTCTACTTTTCCAACAATGTTCACTGCTAGGGACACAATTAGATAC